CACATGGCCGGCAAGCCACTCCCACAAAGGAAGCCACACTCACAGAGTAGGTTCCAAAATTTTTTGAAACCCACCACTGATAACAGTATACCTTTATATAATCCCCGTGTGAAAGAAAGGATTTTTTGACCCCCTCTTCTTTATGGCAGCCCCTCAAATACTGAAATACAGCTATCATGTCACCCCTAATTCTTCTCTTCTCTAGCCAGACCCAAAATCCTGCAGTCGTTCATCGTATGTCTTAGCCTCCAGGCCTTTGATCATCTTAGTTGCTCTTCTCTGCACTTTTTGCAAAGTCTCAATATCTTTAAAATCTTCTCTATGTTTCTTTCCCTTCTCGGTTCTAGGTCAGGGATTTATAAGTGACGATGAGTACTTGGAAATCACGGGCATCACGAGAGAACAATCTGGTGAATATGAATGCACTGCGGTCAATGATGTGGCAGCGCCCGATATTCGGAGGGTAAAGGTCACCGTCAATTGTAAGTGAACCTCCACACATTTTTCAGAGAGGGCATTTTCAAGTGTGGTGCATGGGTATCTTTAGGATGTTTACAATGATTTGGGTAAGGCAGTGTTTCTCAACTTTGGCCATGTGAAGATGTGTGGACTTCAAAGTCTTCCCATCTTCAAGCTACCAAGGTGGAGAAACATTGCGGTAAGAAATGCTACTCAAATTATAGCAATTGCAATGGCATTTAGAGTTATATACCACTTCACAATGCTTTACAGCCCTCTCTTAGCATTTTACAGAGTCAGCCTATTTGCCCCCAACAATCGGGGTCCTTCTTGTAACACGCTCAGAAGGATGGGAGGCTGAGTCAGGATCAAACTGCTGGCAGTTGGCAGAATTAGCCTGCAATACTGCATTCTAACTACTGGGAAGGGAGGGAGGGAGGAAAAGAAGGAGGGGGGAGGAAGGGAGGAAGGAACAGCAATAGCACAGACTTATATACCGCTTCATAGTGCTTTCCAGTCCTCTCTAAGTGGTTTACAGAGTCAGCCTATTTGCCCCCAATCTGAGCCCGCATTTTACCCACCTCAGAAGGATAGAAGGTTGAGTCAACCTTGACCCAATCAGGATCAAACTACTGACTGTTGGCAGAATTAGCTTGCAATCCTGCATTCTGACTGCAAGAACTACTGTTCCCATCGGGTTTTCAGTGAGGCTTATTCCAAATCTAAACCATGGCATTAGGCTGACATTGGTAGACTATGGTTTTCCTGTGCCATCCTCTGGGATACTATATTAGCAGAGGTGGGTTCCTACTAGTTCGCACCAGTTCGGTAGAACCGGTTCGTCAAATCTACTGAACCGGTTAGAAGAGGTTCCATCAGTGGACCCGGAAAGCAGGCCACACCTACANACGTTCAGAGCACATTTTATGACCAATTCATGCAAAACTCCACGTAATCTCAAAGGGGTTTACATACTTTTTCTTGCGACTGTATGGTTTTAATCCAACCATCCTGCCACCTGTCCCCTGACTTTTAGTGACAGCTGTTCCAGGAGTAATCTAGGCTCACCTAGTCTGTTTCATATGGAAAAGACCATGACCACAAACAATAGACAAATTGATGGGTGTTTCAGGAACTCCTTCACATAGGGACAAAGTTCTTTTTTAAACAGTGTGATTGGTAACCCTACAACTTGGTTTAAAATAGAGCCCACTTTCTTTTAGCGCAGTGCATTGGCTCTTTTCCAGGTCATTGGAGATGACAGTGATGCAATAGGGCCTACCTAAGGCTCCACCATGTGTATTTGTATATACTTTCCCCCTACTTTTCGCACAGAGTGCTCCAATTCCTAAACAGACTGTGCTAAACACTGTAATTTCACTTCTGTGAATGGCATCTTTTCTGTCTGGTATCTAAAACTCCTCTTTACCCTCCTATTTCTTTTGCCATGATGGTGTTCGGCTCACTCATTGAGTAGGTCCATCGCCTGGTTCTGGTGGATAAGAAGAACACTCCGCGGGGGATCGTGTCCCTCTCTGACATTCTCCAAGCCTTGGTGCTCACACCCGCAGGTATCGATGCCCTAAAATCTTAGCTGGTCGACGCTCCATCCTTCTTCCATTTGTACCCTCCAATTCCTCCACTTCTCTCCAGCTCAGGTAGGCCCCAAGCCTTGGCCTCTCCTGCCTGTTTCCAGCTGCTGCTGCTCATTTTTTTAAACTTGCTGCTGGGTTTCTCATGTCCATCTGATCAAGCCAGGTCTGTATTTCTACTCCATCTAGCACCGTTCTCCTGGCTTGGAAGGAAGGCCGGTGCACTGCAGTGGAGTTATAGGAGCAAAGTAGAATTTTTTGTTGGGAGGGCACAGCATGGATTCAAAAAGACTGAATCGCATCTTCTAAGTTTATGATAATGGAAGGACTCCAAAATTAAACGTAAGCGTTTTTTAAGTTTGGTTGCTTTTCTTTTAGCCTTGTGGATTTTCTTGTAGTCATTTTCTGATTGCACTAATGCACACTGAGAGGCAGGGATTTGTAGCAAATGAGATAATTAAGGGTTTCAGATCGTTCTGCCGAAGGCAACGATCCAAGCAGCATGTATCAGGAAAAGTTGTTTTGTGTGTGAGAGAGGAGGAGGAGGGAGGAGGATGTGTGTAAAGTTGTGTGTGTGTGAGAGGGAGGAGGAGGAGGATGTGCGTGTGAGAGAGAGAATGAGAGAGAGAGGGTGAGAGGGTTTGAGATTTCTTTATTTCTACCTAGTACTATTGGTAACAAATTACTATAGTTGCATATTCTCTTAGGAAAGCTGCATCATTTTAGTTATAAGGGTTTTCATGAGAATTTTACTATGTGGAGATTATATATATATATAAAACCTGCCCCACCTGAAAGCCATTTCTTGCCTTGTTCCACTGTGCTTGATTTTGAATGAGCCTGACTGAGCCTGTGACTTTGATTTCTTGCTGCTGCCACCAAACCAAGGCTAGAGATATTTGTGCCCATCTGTATCTGTGTGCTCAGCTGGCTGGCATAGATTTGAATACACAATTTGTCTATTAGTAGCAATCTATATATATAAAAGCCAAATACCACTCATGCATCATCACAAAATCTCCAGAACCGTAAAGCCTACAAACTTGAAATTTGCCATGTATGTTCCCCTTGACTTCTAGGTGCTTGCTAAGAAAGGATTTTTGAAATGACCATCAGATCATTAGCTCTGATGCTAAGGAGTTAGACATTCTACTCTCCCTCCCCACCTGAAAAATGCTCTGATGCTAAGGAGTTAGACTGAGGGAGAGAAGGGAATAAGATAAGAGAGGCCTCTGTGGGGCAAACCTGAGGGAGAGAAGGGGAGAGGAGAGACTGATTGCAACTACTCATTAATTTTCAGGCTGCAAGTGTTGATTTATTAAGCCCTATCACATAGTTTCTCATAACACAGATATGTTAATTTTGCTGGAATGACATTAAAGCAGAACCAAGTCAGTTTGCTCAGTTCCGCTTCATTTTAAACCCAAAATTCCACCTTTCAGAACCTGGAATGAAAGATAAATCCCCTATACTTAAATTCCTGGAAGTTGTAATTAATACTGTAATAGTGACTTAACTACGTAAACTTTTTATTTGTGAATACGAATATATTTTATTTATTCTAAACAAAGTTGGGTATAAACTAATTTAAATGTGAACCAATTTAGGTGTGAAGAAAAAAAATTGTCTTGCTGCAGCTATTAGTCAGAAACTCTTGCCAGTCCACTGCAAATCATCCAATAACCTATAAATACTTTTCCCAATCTTCCTTCTATCTTCTCCTGCTTTATTATGAATTAGCAATCTATTGTAAGCAGACCTGCTTGTATTGCAAGCCTGCTTGTATTTTATTCCTTCTTACCTACTTAATTAGGGAGGAGCCTATCCAAGCCTCTTCCAAATTCCATCTTGCTTCTCAGGATTTAAAGAATGTTTCAGCCCTCTTTGCTTACACAGAAGTTATTGCCTATTTCCCTTGAGGGCATCTTCCTGACTCGTACACTCTATAAAAATTGTTTGCTCTTGCAGTGTATTGATTTTAGAACATTAAAAATCCAAGATCATTATCCTCCTGTGACTTAAATATCAAAAAAGAACTTCCTAACGAGCTGATCAGCAAAACAGATTATTTTTAAATGGGGAAGGGGCATATATGTATTTGAGGATACTGTTGTAGTAGACAGACCTGCATTCTCTCTCGGAATGTCAGCTCTGTCAGTACTTCTCAGAAAAACAACTACGGGTAGGATCTGTCCGGTGGGACATGCACTGTTTCTCAGAAGCTTCATGTAACTTCAGTAGCCAAAAAGCAGCAAAGGGATGGCTCATTTCCCACTAGATAATGTTAACTTTTATGAATTCCATTCTGCAGGCATCGACCACTATTCCCTCTGACAGTGTGCAGGACTACTTGCTACTTGATCTACTGCTACTGCATCTATGGCTTGTGGGGGCCAGGAAGAGAAGCTCTAACAGCAATGAAGAAGGCCTAGCATCTCAAGAGCCCTGACTGCCAGTTCCTTCCTCTCAGTGAACCACGAACGTTGATAGGAGATCTGAGGAGGACAAGTGCTCTAACCTCAGAATTGTAAATGGAGGTGTCACTTCTTCGCCCCATAAACTAATATACAGGAACTAGTCTGCTACAAGTGGTGGGCGGTGGGGGGAAAGGAGAGGTGTGTATGTCTTGAACAATGCGTCCATTGCTTGCCTCCTCTTCTTGGCTTCACTTACTGGAAGAGATTGTATTTGAAAATCCAACGTGCTTCAGGGCCTCTTTTGCTTCAGCTGGGAAAAAGATTACTAGAGGCCATGGCTACTGCTTCAGGATAAAGCCTAATCCAAAAGGTTATTTACCTTAGCTGCAGGAGGTGCATTAATTCTAAGTTAAAGACAGATTCCACACCTTGAAAAGGACTAGGATGAGGTACTTTAGAAAAACCTGCATGTTTTTTTCTTAGTTCTTAAAGTAGGCTCATGTCTTATTTGTTATTTCATTGCACTTCCAAGGCACAAGACCAGCTTAGGATAATTGTTACGAGATAGACAGTTCCCTTAAGTCTAAAGTTTTAGGCCCCTTTTCAATGTGTTTTGCCCTGTTCTGAAACATAATAATTCTGTCTCATGAACAGGAGACAGGGAGAGATGGTTGTACTGGAAAGATTCATTTTCCCCCTTTAAGCCTGCAGTATAAATCAGGGCTTTGCTTTTGTGCAACTGTAGCACACAGTAAGAAAGATTGTGCTAGAAGGGACACAACTTAATGTTGGAGAGCTTCCCTCTAGGTCAGAATACAATGTTTGCACTTATTGCTATCACATTTGGGGAAATAAATCTTTCACACGGATACCCCTTTTATATAAATCATACTTCCATTTTCTAGCAAGTGGCGCTTGGTGATTTAAGCAAGGACAAATGGCTGTCTGCCTGGAATGCTACTACAGGAGATTTAGCTTTGATATAGATAGTCCTTGACTTATGACTAATGGAGCCTGCCAATTACTGTTGTGAATCGTGATGGTTGTAAAATAGGTCATCATGTGACCAACTTGATTTTACAATTTTGTTTTTGCACTGGCCATCAAGCAAACACCATGGTTGTTAAGTAAAGCCATGGTTCACTATGGTGCATTTTTGCTGAAAACTGGAACTAAATGCTGGTTTTTGGCAAAAACATCATAAATTGTGGCCATGTGACTGCAGGACACTGCAAATGCCCATAAATATGGGCCAGTTTCCAAATGTCCAAAATAGTTGTATGACCATCGGAGAGCAATCACCAGAACTTTGGAACTGGGTTGTAAGTAACCCTGAGGAAGTCTGAAGTCCTAACTTCAGTCATGATGTGACCAGTTGCAAGTCAAAGATTACCTGTAATCCTGAAGGACCCTTTTAAATCTTCTCCAATTTAGTACTGTCCCAATCCACTCCTTTTCTAAACCATTTTGGCTTAACCCCTGCTTATTTCCTAAACTACAGTGAGGCAAGACCAACAAGCCTAGATCTTACTGCTGGAGGTGTGAGCTCTGCACAGAGGCACTCTTCAAGCATATGAGAAGCAGGACAGCCCTTAAAGCATTTAGATGAGAGAACTTTATGGCTAATAAAAGATGAAATTATGAAGGTGTGGACTGGAGTCTAGTTATCAATTCAATACCACTGCTAAGGCACATTTGGGTCGGCCCTACTCCTATGGAGAGAGTTGAGCATGCAATGAGTGACAATAACAACACTCAAGAGTTGTCTATAAAGAATATAAACTATGATTATTTCAGTCTCCTGGGCAGGTATGTACCTGCATAGCGTCCAAAAGCCTTTCTTTAAAGGAAAATAATCTACAAATAATCCATAACTGAAGAATGGCTTCAGTGAACACTTTTTGAGTTCTCCAGACTTCTTTTCGCATCATTTGGGGCAATAGCAGAAAAGCTCTCATATAACAACTGTAGTCATGAGATTTGAAATTAGTGGCTTTATCTTAATGCCATACAGTACCGCAAATTAATTGCTCTTTCAAGATTGACATCCTGGGCTAGCCTGAAGGATATGCATTTAATCCAAGGCAAAATTCAGTTTGAAGGTCCTGTCTGATTTTAGTTTTCAGAAATGGCTGCTTTATCCCATTGTACATAAGATGTCCTCTGATGCTTATGACAATAAGGCCCCTACAATAAGGTCTAGTTTAGCTCAGTTCTTGGCTAGATTAATCCCACAAAATTTTCATATTCCATATCATCAACAATATGGATTTGCCATGATAACGTTTTTCCAGTTCCCTATTTGATCTGAAGCCCAGTCATTTCCTGATGTCCCCAGCTGAGACTTGTGCAATAATTGGGAGATAATTCTATTTTCAGATTGTTTTCCTTATTCCCTGCTTTTGTAACACAGGATTAAGAGTACTAGAAAATCTGAGGACATATTATGCACCCTTGTTGCTCCAAAGAAAATATATTGCTCAACTGTGGATTTTGATATTCTTCCCAGACATCCCCCATCGTTCATGAGCATTAGCATTTTTTATTTTTCTACAGCATATCCCCTGAAAAGAAAATCTACTTATTCTAAAGAGAGTCAAATGCTTCCTTTTGTCCAAGATTAGATGCTAGCGCAAATCTGCAATAAAACTGATCTTTCTCTGAAAAAGCTGTGCCTTCAAAAAATTTCTTGCCTTCAGTTTACAAGGATCACTAATTTTTCTCTCTTCATCCACATTCCCAACACCAAATAATATTATCAAATTCTGCTATAAAGATATGATAATAGAGCCAAAATGTACAAAATTGAGCATATTTTTGTTCACCAGATTCCACCTATTGAATCTGCTGATTGCTATAAGTAAATTGATCAAAAAAACAGATCTGAACATCTTCAATTCACCCACAAATCCACAATGGAGAGATCAGTAGAATGATAGTCAAGGATTCACTCCACTCTTTTGTCAATCCCTAGTTATCGAAAAAAGGGAACCATGATGTTCTTCAGGAAGGAGATCAAAAGTCCTCCACTATTAAGATATAATGATGGGTGATTAAATATTTCTGAACTTGGGAACTCGGCTTGAAGGAGGCTTGCTGGAGAGAGCGAGGCAAGAAAGATGCAATCACCAAGTGATGAACACACCCTTCATTAGCAATCAGAATAAATGGCCACCTTGAGTAGCTCCTTATTTTGGAAACGGTAAGAATCTCCCCATCTTTTTGGCCCGGGGGACATCCCTGTCAGAAGAGAAGAATAAAACAGATAAACCAAGAATGAACACGTCCTCTACAATCATAGTCATTCCACTAATAATGGTGTTTCTGGTAGACCAAAAAGTGGCCAAATGCAACCAAATGGATAAAGGTTTGGCACTGGTTGTGAAGGGACAGGCTTCATACAGTAAGCCTTAATACAGAGCGTTACGTCACCTTTTCCAGTATGGTTTGATCAATGCCACCATTCCATTTACATCTAGCCAAGTTTTCGGGTTTTTTTTTTTTTTTTTGAGTAATACTCACAAAAGTGGCAAAGTTGTGCCCATGCA